TTTTTAAAAAATTGTGAAAAAAATCGTACCAAGGACTCCTATCAACAGTACCCTCTCTATCGCTTTCATCTCGATCACTACAACCATTTGGTAACGGGGATGGTGTGTCATGAGTCACATCACATGTTTCACACGTCGAAAAACCCGGATTCGAAGACTGCGATGGAGAAAATCCTGAAAAAAAATTGTTTCAGAGGTAATGAACCCAAGAAAGTCATATTTTCATTATATTGAAACACACCTATTCCACTTGTCTGACTCATCTGGCTGGCAGTGTCTCTCACAGTGAGCCGATCAGGGAAACGTGGACGCGCTTGTTGTGGAGAAGGACTACCAGGTGGGGAGCATGCTGATGATGACGAGAGATTCGAGGATGAAACCTTCAGTACCGATGGCGTGGTTCTGCTACGTTTCTTCCGAAAACGCTCTCTTTTCGCTGACGCACCACTAGATTAATACTGACAACTCTATAGTCAAAGCGAATATTTGAAGGAGGCACAAAACCGAAAATTAGAAATAAATGTTGTCAGAAAACAAACAAAAGAATGAAGTTACAGTTCTACCTAGCTCGATTATGTTGATCAATCCCTCGTTCAGCAATGCTCATGATATCCTTCAAGGCCTTTTTAAGACTATTGGCTCGTCCAACAAGTGAATCCCGCCTTCTTCTCTCTTCGCTTGGAGTACCTTAGAGAATGATATCTTGGAAAACATATTATACTAAATATGATGATGAGCTTACGTTCATCATCCTCTGGCTCAAATCCGCTCTCTTCCCTCTTTTCCTCTTCAGAACCTAATGACTGCATCAAAATGTCGAGTTTCTGCAGCAGCGTAGAGCATCTATAAAAAATGCAAAAAACTGTTTAAAACCAATCATTTCATCAGATTAAACAACTTTTCTGTTATAGGATCACTTGGCAGATGACCAGCTTCTCTTTCCCACTGCTCAACTTTGGTAAAGGTTGCACTAATCTTTTCCATCAAACCACGCACGGTCTCACATAATGATCTAGACGAATTTGAAGTAAGATATTAACTTCAGAGTTCCTAAATGAACTGACTTTACTGTTTTGAATACTTCCAACGGTTCATCGGCATCCAACACCGCCTGCACTTCATTCATGATTGTCTTCTCATATTGACTAACGGCAGTAGCTTGTGGACCTTCGATTGACAAAATGCTCCACCTTAAAGGTCAATTTGAGACACTATGTACTGCTCAACTAACAAGGGAAGGATACTTAGTGGCCGTGGCCGTTCAGAATGAGATGTATATCAGAAGATTAGTCTT